CTCATGGAGCAAACATTATATTGTGTTATTGATAGATAGGCCAATTACTGGAATATTTTTCTCTGAACTTTGGGAGCAAAGACTGTAACATTAATATGTTCCTTTTATTACTATAAATTTTACGGTTACCGTAAGAACTATAGTAATAAAAGGAAAAATATTGAAAAGAGTGTAAAACTAAGTGTAATACTTATTAATACTTATATTTAATACTACTATTGATGATTATATTGCTTCAAAAATTTCATTCAAGTCAGCTGTTCCTTCAATTTATGGTGATAATGAAGAGATTTGTAGCCTGAGCGCCATGTATTGGGCACTAGAGAAAGAAATGAAATTCGTTCTCGTGGTTTTAATACTGCAAGAACTACACAATCTAGATGATTTAAAAACCAAAGCAAAACCTCTTTTCTAAGTATTACCTACAAAGAAATTTAACAATGAAAGAACGGAGATTTTACTAATAATCAGAATCTGATAAAGTTAAATAAGCAGAATTAAAAATTCACTGAAAATCATAAAATATTAAAATAACGCAAAAAATAATGGATTAGAAAGACGAACTACTAACTCAAAAAAGCATAGTTGAGAAAGCACTTAACAACGGATATGAAAAAATTAATTAAAAAATAAAAATCTAAATTAAGTGAATTTTTAAATTAAATGAGAATTAATTAAAAGTAAAAAGTTAATGTTTAAACAGTGCAAAATTAGCACATCAGTTTTAAAATTTTCGTAAAAATCGTGATACTTAACAACTTAATAAGGAACAACTAACAAACGAATTACTGTCCATACCCTTAACAAAACCAATGCAGACTGAATTTGTGATGACGTCTGAGATCATATAAACATACGTAGGCTTGAAAGACGTCCCGGTTTTCAGACAAAATCGCGGTGTCCTGGCTGGTTTACTTCTAGTCCCGGTAAAAATTAAATTTGATTTTATAGATGACAGAAAAAAGTCTATAAAAATAATTAACTGTTAAGTATTATTTAGGATAATTACTTTGCCAGTTATCTCTGTACTGTATGAAAGATGAAACACTATAGAAGAGTGATGATCTGCCAATAAATAATATTGTCAACGTATTGTCTAGTCTCGCCAATCGTGACCATGCGCGATGCGAGAGGCTTTCCGGACTCGGAGCTAGCCGCTTACGTTAGAGAAAATTCGGTCAGTCGTCAGTCCCTTTCGGTGGTGTCTGTTGTGTTAGTGAGCTAGCGCTGTTATGTTTATGCTTTAAGTTTAAATTTATGCGCTGTCTCTTAAAATGCCTAAACGGTCGTGTTAATTCAAGGGGTATTTACAGAATGAATTCTCTTTTTTGAAGAAGGTATGTGCTGGCAATCAAGATCAAGACGATAAAGTTCACACTGTAATTCTGAGTTTTCTGTTGCTCACGGTGGTCGATCCGATATAAAAAGAGCATTTGTAATCGAGTAAACACAAAAAGAGTTTAGAATGCGCTGCCAGCTCACCAAAACTTACCAGTTTTTTTAAGACTGCGAGTTCTAATGATAAAAACTTAGCAGCGAAAGAGGCGACCTCTGCTTACCGCGCAGCAAAACATAGCCTAAGTTTCAATTCGAATTCTTGTTTCAAAACTAATTTCTAAGTTTTTTAAACCTAAATTCTTACTCGGAAAAAATAAGTGTGAGGCAATAGAATGCCATAGCTCTTTTAGCTCAAGAAGAGCTTAAAGAAGACTTGACCAAGTCAAACTACGTATCTGTAATTATGGATGCGTCAAAAAGAAAGGATATAAAACTTGTGCCAATTGTTGCGCGCTACTTTAATCCTAATTCAGGTGTGCAAGTAAAGCTGTTAGATTTCAAATCTGTGGCGGGTGAAACATCTGAAATTCTTACAAATTACTTATGCTCTATTCTGCTGCAAAACGATTTGAACAATAAAATAGTGGGCTTTTGTGGAGATAACTGCAACACTAACTTCGGTGGTGTGAAAAGGGCAAGGGAAAACAATGCTTTCTATCGACTCAAGAATAGCCTAGCACCGGAAATCAGTGGAATCGGATGTGGAGCACACATTATGCACAACTGTGTGCAAACTGCATTAGATAGTCTCCCAATCGATATTGAGGCATTACTGGTGAAGATTTATAAATACTTTCGCATATACACAGTCCGTGTAACTAAACTAAAAGAATTTTGTGAATATGCCGAGATACAGTACCGTAAACTCATTCAACACGGGAACACCCGGTTTATGTCAATGATGCCCGAGCTGGAAAGAATTTTACAGATTTTTAAAGGTCTGAAAGAGTTTTTTTTTTTTTTTTTTTTTTTTTTTTTTTTTTTTTTTTTTTTTGACCAAGAAATGTGCCCATCAACAATAAAAAGTTGTTTACTGATTTAACGGGTGAGCTGTTATTGTGGTTTGTCCATGGACAGCTTGCACTCTTTAACAAGGCCATCCTGGTAATGGGAAAAAGATAACACTACAGCTTTTCAGGTTGCTGAAGCTCATAAAGCTCTCAAAAGAAACCTGACGGAAAGAAAGGATTCAAACTTTATCCCTATAGGCGCAAAGAACATCTGCAGTAATCTAGACGAGCTAATCCGTAACAGTGTGAGAGAAGAATTTGATGGCTTTTATGAAAGATGCATTGCATACTTGGACCTCTGGGAGAATAGTTTTGGAAATGCTGAACAGTTTTCTTGGGTCAGTCTAACCAAAACAAATGCTGTTAATTGGGAAAACGCCGAAACTTATGCTGAAATGATTAACAGCGGTCTTCTTGATGTACCCGATGTGCATATAAACACTGACCAGCTGTTGGATGAAGTTGTGCTTGCTAAGGAGTATTTGCCGTCAAAATGGGAACAGTGGAGTCTACCAGAGATGTGATTATTTCAAGTGAATAAAAATGGCTCAGGCTGTTTGATCACTTCAAGGAGAATCACATAGCAGTCCCCAATCTGATTAAGATTGTTCAGTATATCTTCTGCTTACCTTGGACATCAGCACCAGTTGAGAGAGTATTTTCTTTGATGAACAACGCATGGACTGATGATAGGGGTTTGATGAAGGAATCTACGGTTAAGGGCTTAATGAGGTGTAAAAAGTCCTAGCCAATGAAAAGTACATGTAAATATTGTTCAAATTTTTATTCCTCATTTTAAGTGTTTTTTCTAACTTAAGTAACTTATAAATATTAGCATGTAAGAAATAAAATGCTTAAATTTATATGCTTGTGTCATTTATTATTATCCCTGGTTTAGGTTCCTATTAAGTAACCATTTATTCATAACATTGAGAATAAACGACCCTCTAAAACATTCCAAAAACTCGCCAAGGGTGTGTACTCTTGACTACCCACGACGCCGAGGGGCATTCCGGTGTCCCGGTTGAACATTTCTGAAATCTGACAAGCCTAAACATACGTAACTATGACACCACCAAAATCACGTGACGACTCTGACTTCATGGGCTACTTTTTCGACTTTCGCATTCTTCTGCGACTTTCAGCTGGAACATTTTTAGCAACACTGAGTGTATATAGAAAAAACTAAGTAAATTGTATAATTAAGGTAAAAAGGTAGCTTCATGCATGAGCAGATTTTAAATAAAAACAATAATTTAACTGTTGTTAACAGAAATTAGTTATTTAAAATACTTAAGATTACTACTTGCTTAGTTTAACATTTTACATTTATCAATTTCTTTTCTATTTAGAATATAAAGTGAGTAAGTAAGTTAAGAAGTCTTAGTAATCTTAGTAAGTACAAGTAAATCTTAGTTGTCAAGTGTTTTAAGTTCTTACCTTACAGATAGTTTCTGACATCTAATATCCACCCCTTTATATTAATTAGTTAATTACATCTCGGGTAGGCCGCGCAGCCGGTGTAGTAATTAGTGACTCTGACTGCTATCGATGAGCCTGTGTTCGAATCCAGGAGAAGGCATGTATATTTGCAAATGTATAATGTTTGTGCAGGATGGGAGCTTTCAAAATATACAGAAGCAGAACTCTCGAATGGCTGGGAGGTAGATAAAGAGGGGTAGAAGATTATCATACCAGTCCTCCAGGGTGCTGTCCTTCAAAACTAAGGCAGAAGTGGGCAAAGTTGTACGGTCATCTATGCGGTGCTCAAACTCATGCTGATAACAGACGCAGTCTTCTACTTCCTTGCCCCAATTAAATTCGTGGGCCTGTTCAGATTAGGTCAGATGTGTGATATTAGCCGCATTACTAGCTGGGGGGAGCTCGTTACGGATGGTTTACTCGTAACACCTGATAATTTTCGTGGGCTTCATTTATACCAGAGGAACTTTCTGGCTGCTAGAGTACTTTCCTAATTTTTTTGTTATATAAGAGTCTAAATTGTTGTTAAAACGATAGCAGGCTTCCCTAGAAAGTTTCTTTGCAGCGACATTTATCCCAAGACAACTAGAATTTGGACCTTTTTTACGAATAATTATGTAAGTTATGTCTTATAAAATTATAGAGATATTTAAGAAGTTGGTAAGATTAAAAATACTAGATTGTCCAAATCTCAAATCCTCAAATCAAAAGTCCAAAAAATCTGTGTTGTGGGAGAACTAGAACATCTCCAAATATCTATTTTTTTTTTCCATGCTTTGCTTCGAGTTTAGAGAATTTTGGTTAAAGCAACGTACTGTGCCAATTAACAAATATAGAGATATTTTGCAATAGTTTAAGATTTTGAAATAATGAAATTTGAATAAATATCCTTATTTATTTATTCTTTTTTAAATTTAAAAATATTCAAATTTAAAGCTTAGATTTCTATTAAAATTTTAAAAATCTTATTGAAATGTAAAACTTATATTTTACCTCTGAGAATTTAAAAAAGAACCAGGCCACTCCATTTTCTGAAAGGCCCAGAATTCTGAAAGGCCAGAACCTGCAAACATTAGAGATTTATATTATTTAGTTATGCAATATGAATAATATATAATCAGTAGAAGCAATGCTCAAATAAAATGGATGTTTTTTTTTAATGTTTTGCAGTGGACTTGACTGGCTGCGCTCCAGGCCGCCCAAAGGAGATCAATGCTCTTCTTCGGACGCAAGGAGATTTATATAGTCCAGGTTATAAAGAAAATGAAAACTATCCAAATGATCTAGTGTGTCAGTACATAATTTTCGCACCATATGGATTCGTAAGTAAATGCAAAAATTAGAAGCTCACAGGGAAAATGTATAGCAAATTAAAATGTATAATACTTCTAACACTCCATACATTCAAACTTAACACAATGCACACTACTTTCCTCTTTTAATCTAATGCATAATTAGTCCTAATGAATGACAAGAGCGTAGCTAAATATTTTAAGGCCATTATTAATTTAATTTCATTACATTTCATGCAATATAGAATCTTATCAGTGAGTAGAATTATAATTGATATAAGTAATACTGCACTTATTTAACTGTTGTTCGTAACGGTGATATATTTGAAATGAGGTGAACACGTTAATAAATTCATAAGAATTGCGGACAAATGAACGATTTTTCTGTATCGCTATGCTTAGCTACAAATATCGATTTTAATTCAGTCATCTAAATATTCAGTCAAAATTATTATTTTTAATTAAGACAGTTATATGTTATTACTTACTGAAAGGGTAAAAAAAGGGAGTTTCTTAGAGATTACGATATATAAGTTTGAACATCAACATTCCTAATTGCTGGTTATAATTCATTTATTTCATTTGGACTCTTTATCCTCTTTAACAGCAAACCTACCATTACAGAAAACATGCCTATAGGGTAATCCATTAAAAGTACTTCCTTATAATTTTAAGACTTAGAAACTTTCTTAAACTTTTGAGAAAAGTGAAAAGATTAAGACATAATTAATTGTTGCAAAATTAAGAGCATGGTTAATCAATGTAACTGCAAAAGTGCTAAAAGAATTGCAATGAAGAATATTACAAAGTATAATTTCAAAATTACTCTGTTATAAGAAAAGGGTATGTACAGTTGTTGTAAAAAATGAAGTTGTAGAGACATTAGGTTAATTGGAAAAGCCAGTGCACATTTAAAAGAAAAATTAGCAACCGCCTTCACCGGGAATCGAACCACGGACCTCTGGAATACCGACCCAGACCGTAGAACCAATACACCACGAAGGCACGCTAGGAAGGCGGGAGAAATACCTTATATACTATCCCTTTTAAAGGGCGACTGGGGTTTTTAGGGGACTCAATCGCCAAATCCTGGGTGAGGAGAATCATCCAACACTCTTTTAGTTCGGGCGCAATTTTACAGACATTAGGTTAATTGGAAAAAGCCAGAGAGATGAAAAATTAGCAACGCCTACACCGGGAATCGAACCACGGACTCTGGAATACCGACCCAGCGTGCAGAACCACTACACCACGAAGGCACGCTAGGAAAGTGGGAGAAATACCTTATATACTCCCCTTTTTAAAAGGGCGACTGAGGTTTTTAGGGGGCCCAATCGCCAAATCCTGGGTGTGGAGAATACTCATTCAACACCCTTTTAGTTCGGGCGCCACTGTGGAGACATCAGGTATATTTTTGGAAGCAGGAAAGATGAAAAATAAGCAAGCGCCTTTCCCCTGGAACCAAACTGCGGACCTCTGGAGTACGCACCAGGTGTGCAGAACCACTACATCACGAAGGCACGCTAGAAAGGCGGGAGAAATACCTTATAAAGTATGCCGTTTAACTTCACTAGCAGTTCACTACGACTGTAAAATTTTTTTAAAAATATTTTTGTTAACTTTTTTGAAAGGAATAATCTGATCGATATTTAGATTCTAATAGAGCACAAAAATTCAGTTAGTCATACATTCTACACTTGCGGATAGAAAGTATTTACAGAACGGAAATAAGTATACATAAGCAAGAAATAAGTATGTAGCTGAATAAAGAATGCAAGACACTAAATTTTTTATGAAACACATTTTCCTTTTCTAAGATTTATAAAGGATAATAGGTGATATAGAAATACGCAAGGGAATTACATTTTGCATAAAAAGGAATTAATGCGGATCGTCAAATTTTGTTAAAACAGTTTTCATACTTGAAAATGTTAAGCTAAAGCAGATTATTTTAGTTTTTCATTTTAAACCGATTACTTAGATTACTGCTTTGCATCGATTTCAGCTTAATCAGATTCTTTTTATTAAACGTCTGCGAAAATTTTGATAAAACAAGGAGCACAAGGAAAATGTAATACGTTAAATTAAAAGATGAAAAATATTAAGACGAGAGAAATTCTTCTCTAAAGAAAATAAAGGAAGTCATGAACGAATAAAGGAAGTCATGTCCGTGGTTCCAGAGTTCCGTGGTATGAAATAGGAGAAAACAAAATGTATCATGGGAAGGAAATTGACTGCAGAAAAGCCTTCTCACACAATAAAGAAATAAGTAAGTTAATTCTTCTGTCATTTCAAGAATGCGGAAGAATTAAATTGGCGTGTCTTTCAGAAGACTTAGGAATAAAACCTTTTAGTTCATGTTATACAACAGACATCTTGAAGTGGTTCATAACTTGTGCCACATTTGTTATAGCATTTTTTGTAGTAAAATACATATTTTCCGGGTAATAACAGAGGAAGTTAGAACAAAGCTAAAATTGCATTTACATTAAGAATTACATTCAGAGCCTCGGATAAGAAATCGAAATTTTAACAAATTGTATAACTTGCACGACATGAAACTTTAAAAATTCATAAATTCCCCAAACTTTGTTAAAATTGCAACTTTGTCAAAATCTTGTGCAGTAATGCAAAATAATGAACACGAAGTAAAAAATAATGAAAGATTGAAATAAAACAATTCAATAAAACAAATGTGATAGCTTATAAAAGTATAAGCTGAAATTTAACATAAATGATTTGTTTATCCAAATCACTCACTCAGTTTTAAAATGCTCTCCGATTATTTTCAGATCTCCTTTTCAAAAGCCAGTTTCCTCATAGTAAATACACTTTTTTAATACTCATTGTTATGGACTCCTAATAAGCATTTATAAGATTAATTACTTCCAGTTATTTGGTTAGTACTGCAAATCGCGTTTTTGAATTTGTAACTAACAATATTATAAAGTATTATTGTAAAAATAGAGAAATTAACTACCCAGATGTTTTCCATTCTGGCATGAAAACTTTAGAAAACTTAACGTTAACATTATTAACTTATTGTATTATTTATTAATCAGTTTGTTAAACATCATAAACGTTCAAAAAATAATTTTCCACACCATATAGTTCAAATTAAGGTTTAATTAATATTATTTGAACTTTATCTATCAGCGCAAGCTAAATAACTTTAAAAAAAAAAAAAAAAAAATTCAGAAAAAAAACTAAAAAACAAGATACTTAATTTGAAATAAAGGGAAAATTATTAATGAGTAACTTAAATAGAGCTAACAGGGGTAGAAGAAATTTTAACAATAAGAAGTAAAATGTAGGATTTCGAATCATATTATCATAATTTCTACTCTAACAAAATGTTTCTGACATAATATATTTCACTAGGAAAAGAAGTATTGCATTTGTAATAATCATACAAATATTTATTGTTTGTAAATATATACATATATATATACTTGTGCGTAAAATTAAGAGAATTTACACATTATGTGGAATTTCTGTAAAAAACTAATTGCACAGATTTTAAGGAACTTTGGTATGATACGTCTAGTAGCCTATAACGGAGAAAAAGATGTACCATTTAAAAGTCATTTTATGTATGCAGGATTATCAGCAAATTTCTTAGTATAGGGATTTCTAAAATCTACGTTGTGATATCGAACTGAAGATGAGTTTAACATGTGGTATGGTCCCTTTCACTGCCAGACAGGTCGCGCAGAGTGGCGGCGCACTTGGCAGCAGGCAGTTGAGGAATCTCTGTGGCAGTTGATCTCACTCCCGCAGAAAGGTAATTGTCAACTCCGGGACAATTCTCGGAAGAAGATGGCGAGATAAATTGACCACTCAAGAGCATCCCAGACTTGCTTTAAAGGGTTAAGAAGGCCAATCAATGCGACGAATATTCTCAATTTCCAGGTAATCGTCCACCAGCTGAGCCCTAAAAGGACAAGCGTTGTCGACAAGGCTCTAAGATCTCTTCTCTGTATCTCATAACAGTCAGAGAGCCATTGCCAAACATATGCATGGGTTTGCGAACGTCCAACAATTATGCCTGCCCAAACTCTTTCTCCTGCACCACAATAATAATCTTTTTCCCTGATGACGGAGAGATCGTATTGTGTTCTAAGCTCTCTGCAGATGCAGCTATACTCCGAGAATTTTGTTTCCAGGTTGACTCTCGACTCATCTGTAAAAAGAACGGCGATTCACTGAAGTCTGGTTCAAGGCGCATGTTATCTGCACCATGATAAACGCGATCCCTTGCGTACTGCAGTAAGCGGGACGCAAACAGCGGGTCTCCTGACACGTAGCCGTATCTCATGAAGCCTTCAGCTAATTGTTGACTGTGGAATTCGGGTTCTAGTGGCAGAACACAGATCACGGGAGAGTCGTGAAGGATCCTTATTCGTGGTTCTCGATAATGGACAACCTTGTCTAGATCATCTCGATATGGATCCAGTGTCTTGAAACGTTTCCAAAAATTGCAGACGACACTGGGCGTTACATTGAGCTGTGTAGCCACCTGCGCTTGTGATTGTCTTGTCTCCAATCTACCGACAGTTCTTTATCTCATTCCGTGATCCATACCTTCGTATCTCCTCATATATATTCCTGATATAAAATTTTTCCAACTCTTGCGACAAACCCGGCGAATGTCGTGAAAGAATAAGAGCACATAAATTGCCGAAAACTCATCATGCGTTTATAGCTCTCCACAATCACAGCTTGGTACGCTTGGTATTCGACTCCGAACATTTGCATAATTCTTCAGCGTCATAATTAGTACCTTTGGTTCAATACTTTTCGTAACTACATTCTCCTATTTTTGCACACGAGTGTTTATCGAACATTTTCATTGAATTTTAGTGAATTGACTCAATCATGTGTCTTAAAAAAGGCAAAATTCTGCGAAAATGCACATCATCAGTCATAACCCAAATTGTGCCGTAGCTTTTACTGTATCAGCATTTTCTATAACCTTAGAAAAGTCAATGACTCTACCTTAGCATAAATCTTATAAAAATTGCAGGAAACAAATATTTATTTTAATAACTTTAGTTTAAAAACTGATTTCAGTTATGTGATAAACCGTTTACACTGCAGATTTATTAACGGCATTATTTAGTTCTACAGATATATTCTTCCTGTTTTAAATAAATTCGTGTTCTCTGAGTCAGTTCACATTTAGCTGAAAATTTTATTTTCTAGAATTATTTCTTACTCATTTCAATAAATTTACAAAATTCTATATCTTAATAATCTAGAGTATTTTGCAACACCTGATGCTAGACGCTTAACTTTAAAAACTGAAACTCTTTCATGTTTCCTTTCAGAAAATACGTCTCACATTCGAGGACTTAGACATCGAGACATCTGACCTGTGCATGGCAGATGCCGTATCCGTACACGAAGGAATACATCCAATGGCACCAGTGCATGGAGTGTTTTGCGGAAATGGCACTTATCCACCGATAACTTCTCTCAGTAATGCCTTGCTTATCGTATTCCGAAGTGATTTCATGGTGGGAAAGAAAGGATTCCACATTCGTTACCACGCATCAGCCCTACACAGTAAGTTCGGCAGGGTCTTTGCCTTTTGTTTACAGATATATAACTGGCAGCCCCTTCTTTATCTAAATCTCCCTATAAAAGCAAAGATTATCGTTTTCACTCGTTTTTTTATGTAATGAAAATGTTTCTTCCTTTTAGTAAGAAAAGATTTGTGGAAATAAATTCCTAATACTAAATTTAATTAATCCGATTTCATCGTAATCTTCTCATGTGTGGTATTCAAATAAAGAATTGAAATGAAGCTCCGTACAATCTCAGAATGTTAATTAACTTTCTTAAAATAGCTATTAGAGATTACAACTAGGAATAAATGAACTGCGGTGTGTTCTGAATTCCGATATTCTACAGTGAAATATATGTTTTCCTATTAAATAATATGTATGCGTTCATTTTAAATTCATAAATGTTCTTTCAAAACCAAGAATGAAACAGGAGTAGACAATGCGAACACTATACAGTTCGATCAAAAATTGTAAGTCATGAGTTCTATCTAATAAAAAAATAAAAAAAAGACGTTGTACGAGCGATGTAGATAGTTTGCACATTGGAAAAATGGCACTAGTGATCCAGCTAACTGTGGGGTCTGTGCCCAGGGGGTGTTGTGTGGTAATATTTTAAAAACGCGAGGAGCTCAAAATGTGGTCTGAGGTAAGCGTGAGAGCACTCACATGGATTTTTTATGAGCCAGGAGTGTGTATTCTGCCCATATTCTTTGGAATTCTTTTCAAGTATACAGTTACATGTAATACTGAGAAAATACTTAGCTGAATAGCGTCTTTCGTTCCTGGCAGGTAGAGATGACACAGGGAACCGATATTGCACAAGCAACATATATTTCAGTTAGGACGACAGGAATTAATATTGCAGGTCATGATAAAAGAAATGAACAGTACGAAAAAATAAGCTTTCTTCTGAGTTATGACTCCATTCAACATCTGGTGGTGAATGTGTTACAGTACTCCGAAATTTGTGCTAGAGGTGTATCTTGTGAATTATGCAATTAGAAAATTAAATGAATGATGGCCTGTTTGATATTCCTTCAGTTATTACAAATAGAAAGGCATTCCTCTAAAAATATGTAAAAAATTGCAATATGAGAAATGGGGAGATGTAATTCCACCATTTCGTCATCGCTTGTAGCAGAAATCAGAACTTCTATGCTATATAAGAAGTTGTTTCAGCGCTTGGAAGGAAGTTAAAGGTCACATCATTTCCTGGGAAGTCAAGGCTTTCTTGGGAAAGTCAAGGCTTCTAATTTCTGTAAATTTGCGAGTGAGACTTCAGCAGTTTAATTCCTAGTATGAACATATTTTAAACTCTGTTTGGTAATGCGACGTATTAAAAAGTTTTGGAGCCATTCTCCTTCACCGCAACGCTGGACTGGACACCACCAGCGCCATGCAACTTTTTTATGAGAGATACTGAAGCATCAGGCTTTTAGCATGGAGACCTTTAGCATTCAGAAGAGGCACGAGCATTTGGGCCGGAATAGACAAATTGTTTGTGTAATCTGATAAACGTCTAAAATATTTGAAAATAATATTAAGTACACATTCTCATCCATGGTTCTTTTGTTATTTCTTGAAATCAGCAATCGCTCCGTTATTTTCATTTGAAATATTTTATAAACAATATTCATTTATAGACTCGTGTGAAAATTTATGAGAATTTGCAAATTATTTCCATTTTTACGAAAATTATTGGACAAAAGGTACTAATTATGCCGCCGAAGAGTTATGCGGATACTCAGAGTTAAATTCGTAAGCACATAAGTGCATGTCTGCGGAGCTGTCATTCTGGAGTTGATAAAAGCGCGCAAGAAGTTTTCGGAGACTTATGTTCTCGTATTCCTTCATGACATGCGCCGTGTTTCTCCCAAGATTTGGGGAAATTTTATAAGATATCAGGTAAAATGAGTAGCCATGAACGTATAGATACGGAATGAGGTGGAGAATTGTTGGTCCACTGAAAGCAGGCCAATCACAAGCGCATGAGATTGTAGAGCTCAGTGTAATGTGAAGTGTGGTCTGCAGTTTGAGGAAACAGTTTCAGGACACTGTATCCATATCGGAAAGATCTGGATAAGGTTGACCAAGATACACAACGGTGAATGGAAATTGTTATTAGGCGCCTTTTAGAGTGGCAACACAGGACTGCTACCGCTCCAGAGCTCTCACGCGAGCTGTATGCTGCCATTAGAACCAGAGTTTCATGGTATACTATTGTCCAAAGGGCTCATGAGATAGGGCTATGTGCCAGAAGACCCACTGTTTGGTTCCGCTCACAGCAGCACTGAAGAGAATTGTTTAGCATCGGACAGACAGCATGCGCCTTGGTCCGGACTTCCGTGAGACACCCTGCTTTTTTCAAATGAGTTGAGATTTAGCCTGGACATACATTATCTGCTTACCTGTGTCTGGAGAGATCCTGGAACACGATACCATCTTTCCCTCATCAGGAAAAAGGATCATTTCGGTCTTGGGTTCCTGTGAATGGACGTCAACACTCTTCCACATGGGGTTCAGTTGGCCGACAATTACCTGGAAAGTGAGAATATTCGCGCATGAAATGGCCAGACAGATCTCGTGAACTTAAACCTATGGAGCATGTTTCGGATTCTCTTAGGAGTGCGAATTCGTCTCACGATTCACCTCCAAGAACCATTCTGAAATTGCTGCAGGAGTGGGATTGACTTCCACAAGCCCTCCTCAATTGCCTCTTGTCCAATATGCCATCACGCTGCGTACCTGTCTGGTTGTGAGAGTGAGCCATATGCCATATTAGGCTCATTTTTGGTTCGATACTTCGGTTTTGGACATCCGTTCAGTTGCTGATAATCATTAATTATACGTGATTAATTATCCTGCTTTACTCATAATCATGCTAACACAAAATGACTTTTGAACGGTACATATCTTTTTTTTTTTCCTTCTGTATTTTTACCAAATTTCACTAAAATCTGTCGATCACGTTTTCAGGAATTCGACATAATGTGCGTATTTTCTTAATTTTGCTCACAAGTGTATATAAGTTAATATATACAAATTTCTAAATTATTCACATTTAATGAATTTGTTTAACTTCTCTCACTACACTTGTAAGGATCTTAAGTTTTACTAACGTTTATTTTATTTTAAATCTTTACTATCACTTCTTATTTTCTACTTCCGGCCAGAATTAAAAGCTTTAACTTATTTATGCAAATTTGTCTTGCGAACGCCAAGTACTTAAGTTGTGGCTTTTTGCCAAGAAAGAGAGAGGAAGGAGTGATTAGGAGCAGGCCGCTTGCCATTGCAGTTTTACTCGGTTGCTGGTTGCCTTCAAGGCCAGAGCTTTAATCCTCTTGATAATTTTAAACGTATCGTAGTGTTAACAGTTCTCTGTACTACATACGGCCTTTCTGTTAATATACGGCCTTTCTGTTAATATACGGCCTTTCTGTTAATATACGGCCAATCTTCAAGTAGACACTTGTTTATTAATCCAAAGTTAGTTTAGTTAGAATTTAGTTAATATTTTTATATTCTTACGTTCAGACCACAAGTGGTTGGCCTCTGTATTCCGAAGTCCGGAAATCATTGTAAAGAGAGAAAAATAAAGGGTTTCGTATACCCTTCCTGTGTATCTTGTCTACTTCCCACATTTATTGAACATAGCTTTAGTAAGCTCCCTGTTCCGAGTCAGGTCATTTAATGTTCCCAAAGCAAGTAAGGAGGAATACTGAACCTTGATACACTCTCATAATTTCAATCAATACTGAAACTTTCTACACTAATCCATATAAGAAAGGCGTAGCGCCCCTTACAATTTTCTCTAAAACATTACAGTGATTTCGTCAATAAATAGTGTTTTTTTTTAGAAAAAAAAAAAAGAATAGAATAGAAAAAATGGGAAAAAGAAAACGATAAACTCATTCTTTTATAAGCACTTGTTACCTTTCTTCTTCGATCCAGGACCGACAGGTCGTCTGCTAAAAATCTTGTTTAAAGCACTGTGTATACTTCCTTGAATAAAATATTGGTGTTCTTCAATATGTCCTTATTCTTATTAGTTAGAATTGATTGTTCATTCCGTGACATTCTGTAAATATATTTTAAATTGGTAACATGTTCCTATAATTCAAAAAATTAATATGTGAACGCATATCAGTATTTTGAAATTCTTCAAATTCTCAGAATGGCTTATCATTTAATTTTTACATCAATTTCTCTTGCTTTTAGCATGATCAGAAATCTCCTTTCTTCGTGACGTTAGATTAATTCGAGGCTCTATTTAGTGATGAAAAAAAATTGTCTCCGTTGCCTCCCTCCCCCATGTTAACATTGTAAGTCTGTTCGTTGCAATCCTTTTATTTAAGAATGAACTGTGCCAGATCATAACTTTAGGCTCATCTTTAGTATAGTGGATATGCCCATCTAATAAGAGTGAGTATACAATCCCTTAGGAAAATTTAGAGAATGAATGAATGAATCTAATTCAGTAACGAGATATAACTAAAGGGCAGTTCACACTAGGATTTATCTGACGTAATGGAGATATCTGGAGCAGCCAACACTGCCAAAAAGCCAGATTTTCTTCATCTGAAAAATCTGAAATTCACTTGTAGTGGAGCGAGTCGACACATGTAACCGACTCAGAGAAGCCTTAGCGTGAACGTAGCTCAGATAAACCCTAGTGTGAACGCCCCTTAAGATCGATGGTGTACTTTGGTTTACCCCTGTTTAATAAAACTACGACGCATTTCACTTCGCAAAATTCTCTGAACAACTATCCTTCACGAGCTAATTACAATCAATGAAGCAGTCAGTCATAGCTGACGGCATGAAAATTTTCGTAAATAGCTTCTGCACTTTAACATTATTTAGCTTGGATGCTATTATTTCAGCGAGGTCTACTGAAGACCATTTATCTATCCATATTTAATTATAAAAAAAATCCAAAAAATTTACTTAGATTAAACTCACAAAATAATTTAATATCCTTATTTCAAAATAATTGCTTGTGAAGTTAAAATATGTCTTTCGTTGTTTAAAATTTAGGAGTAACAGAAAAAAATGAAAAAATTACAGTGATTACAGCCTAGTGTTTTAAAGAAAGAGATTTGGGTATTGTGTTTTATTTGGCTAGGCAAAGCAAGCGAAGGCTATCTGCCTAAGGGAAGGTATGCTTTCGTGAAAGGATTTCTAAAAAAACTGGCTCGCATCCTCATTACACCCAGGGAAAGACCACGGAAACGCCCAAGCAACCCGCCCTTTCTCGTGGATTCGAACGTAGGTCGAACTACCTACGTTCTCTGTTCTTGTTCTCTGTTCAGTAAAAACAGTTCCAGTTTTCATCACCGGCCCTGGTGGGCCCTTAGAAAAAGAAAACGAAACACATTTAGTGAAATTTTAAACTAAGTATTAAAGGTACTAGAAGCTTCGCATGTGCATTTCTTTGTCAAATATATGCGCGGTCAGACTTCTTAAAGAATAACCTAAATTTTCCTTAAAAGGATATAGTAAGTACGAATAGAAGGATTTTAAGTATTTTTTCTGAAGTAAGTAATCATTATTTTGCAGTTAAATTAGCTCTGTTAGAAATCATTTTATTTTAAAATGTATGACAAAAAATTTGGTATCACCAGAATTACGTTATTTACAAATTCTGATATTTATGTGCAGGGCCCTGTGGTGTTGGAGAACTGCTATGCAGAAATCGTAAGTGCGTGAGAATAACATCTCGATGTGATGGCGATGATAACTGTGGTGATGGTACAGATGAAGAAAATTGTGGTTCGTATATCACTACTAATCATAACATTAGAACCACGTACTTATATAATGCATCACATGTACTCCTCTGAACCCCCAAAACATTTCTCAATCGACAAAATATCAGTTGGAGGATATGCTGATTGTCTCCAAATTATCTCTTGATATTTGGTATCGTGAATGCAACAGAAGGTTCGATCATTCTTCTAAGTTACCTTGCTGAGGTGATGCTGCTTCGAACTGTTCCTTCAACTCAAACTCGAAATGCTGGATTCTATTCACACCTATAATACAATGGGCATCATGGACACTAACCAAAATTTCTCATAGTGTTTTACTTCTTAACTTTTTTTTCAATGTAATATGGAGCATTTCGTTTTGAAAGACGGCATATAAAGACATCGGCCACGATGCTAAGGTATAAATGAAACGTCAGAGCTTGTTTTTCAAGGATGTGAAGCCTAAAAGTTCCTAGATTACCCCAGACAATTACACTTCCTCCCCCTGCCTAGGTGTGCAGTCATGAAAGAATGAATCTTTAAGTAAATATGGTAAACGATTCCTTTCATCTACTGTAGTTTAGTAAAAATGATTTTCGTCTGAACATGCAAATTTCCTTTCCAGTCATGGGTAGTGCGGTTTTATAGGACTGTAAGCCCATTGAAAGTGTTCACGATGTTGAATGGTTTTAAATAAATTAATATGAATGGATCTTTAGCTGCAGAAGCTACTGAGTAAGATGAAACATCTGTTCTGATTTCTTGGATTCATCCCTATGATGCTGTGGTTAGTATTAGTTGCAATATTCCTTATATCTTTGCAGAAAAGATGATACAGCCTAGGGCATGAACAGAGTCGTAGCTAGGGTTTTCAGCGCCCAGGGACAACTGAAGATTTCGCACCCCCTACTACTTGCCAAGGATGGAAAACATTTAATTCTAAAATGTCGTAACATCAGTTTGGCGCCCCTTGGATTCTGCGCTCGGGGACAGATGCCCCCTTGTCCCCCCTCTAGCTACGCCCCTGGGCATCAATGAAAGGCAGTCAGCCCTATTTTGTCGATGGTTTAAAACAGGGATCCTCAAACTTTTTCTTGCATCGACACCTTATAAAAGAATATTTTTCCCCCTCCATCCACTTACCCCATTTTGTTCTATAATACCCATTATACCGCATAGTCATAATACCAATAATTGCACATAATTAACTTGAAGTTAATAATTAGGCTTAGAATACAGACAAAAGTTTTGACAAAGATGATTTATTAGCCCAAAGGGCGTTAGCCCAGAAGGGCTATTAATTTCGTTTTGGCATTTTGCGTTGGTTCTCTATAAATGTCGGTTCACTTTTCAAATTGTTGCCACCAAATATTATCGGCCTGTGTTATATTTAAAGAAATTAAATAATGAAGAATATGCCCAAATATATGTATGTGTCTCGCATTGTGATAAAACATCGGTACCTAGAGCCATCAAATTTTGAATAACACAATCTTCCACCGAATATGGGCATCTGGAAGCCTTAATTTGGAATTTGTTTTATTATCTATTTCATATTTTGTAAACCTTTAGTGAATTTTTGTTAACAGACTCAACTTATATATATATATATATAAAGAAAATGCAACTTCTGCAGGAGAAGAAGTAAGTTCTGCTTAACTTTTGAAAGTATTATTGCAAATTTACGCATGGTATGCCATTTCTTGTTGCGTATTATTTATCTTAGCATTGACCTCAAAGAAGAGTTCATCAGTAACAGTTTTTTAAAACTGGGAAAAACCCCAAAAAATGTAATATGTTTTATAATTTTTAAAATGCTGCGATCTTTTTTAGCAGTAATACTCTTATTTAACTCATGAAACAGTTTTAAGCTAAACGGTTATGACAGGCCTACGAGCTTAAGAATGAATATCCAGGAATTCAAAGCACCGAATGATACTCATGCACTTAAAATTATAAACTCAAAATAACAATGCCAAACATTAAGAGGAAAATTAGCTATGATGTTACTCAGTCATTAATTAGCGCCATTTGAGAATGCCCATATTTATTTAATGAAGAAGAAACTTAACTATTGAAGTTGTAGCTATGTACTTTTTTCACTGGATTACTTGCGCAAGAGCTTAACGGCAAATATTTCACCTTGATAACTTGTGTTTTGACAGAGTAAGGAATCAGGGCACTGAAAACAGTAACAACTTTCAAGATAAGATTTTATTTATTTAGTTGCTATTCTCGTGTTCGTTCAGTAAATTATTGAAAGTGTGACTTTCATTTGTAAAAACTGGATTTGAAATAGTAACAAAGCTTCAGCAAAAATATTTTGAATATGTTCAATCTTCTAGAAAATTGTTTTAATGAATTATATTAGGTTATATTGCATTTTAACTTTCGATTTATGATGTCGACATGTATTTCTTCATACCACTCTGGATAATAAAGAGAAAGATAATTCAAATGAATTTCAGTAGCGTGAAGGTATAAAACTGATTTATGCTTGCCATAATTCCAATTTGTGTATAAAAATGAAGGAAAGGGCAATGTTTCTTCGCAATGGATGTTACATCCCTCATTCTCCCTTTCGCTTCAAGCTGGGGCTTCATTCCCTCCTTTTGCCTCAACGCTCATCTCTTATACGTACATTAGACGCAGGAATTCTTTAGAGTGTTCGCTTAGTGACTCTGTATAGCCTATGGACAAAGAACATTTAACCAAGTGCTCTGCACTTAATAACTTTTAATTCTGTCACCTAGAAGTGCTAATAAGCACGATGGCTTAAGTACCAAAACCAGGAATTTGTAATTCATTAATAAATAGGCTTTCTATAATTGATAATTTAAATGAAATTTAATTTTAATTGTATTTCTGAATGTTCGTACACAGCTGAAAAGTTTATTATTTAGTTTATTATTTACAGCTGAAAAGTTATTTATTCGTTTGATGACGTGTATGACGGTTCTGCACCTGAACCGTCATACACGTCATCAAACGAATTACATTTGTCTTTACCGTCACATTAATTAATTTTCAGATTATCCTACGGCTGTAACTAAATGTGGAGTAAGACCAAAAAACGCCTCACAAGCTGTAGGAGTAGATCGTGTAATAGGAGGCAGAGAAGCAATCCCAGGAAGCTGGCCATGGCAAGCTGATCTTCAGCTCGCCTTTTACAATCCTAACGGTCATATGTGCGGAGGAACTCTCATTAACTCGCAATGGGTTCTTACAGCAGCTCACTGTTTTGTGCAGTAAGTGTATGTTCTAACTTGAAATATTTGGTCATAATAAATACTTTGATAATTCATGATAAGCCAGGCGCTTAGATTGAAATTTAAGATCAAAACATGCCACCGAGTTGTGATTTTAATGGGATTAGGAACATAGGCTCAGGGTTGAACTAGGTCTTAAATCAGAAGAGTTATCAGGCAGTTTTCTAATTGGATTTTCGCTACAGAAAGAAACTGCAGAAACTATCCTGGATATTAATTTAGTTTGTTCTTTTAATTTCGAAACGACAATAATTATTTGTCCACATGTAGGAGAGATAAGATAAAGGGGCAGAGGACGTCAAACATATCCAAGAAACATTAAAAAAAAAAAAAAATAGAAGATTTACAATTCTGAAGAGTTCTTTTAAATATTAAGTTTTATCTAATAAAACTAGGAAAATGTTAAGTTTTACCTAAGAAAACGTTAAATATAGTTTACATGAAATGTAAAAGTAACAGTAAAGTCATTGTAAGTTCGATTGTATGAAATCTAACTAACGCTAGAATTTGATTAAGAATTCGAATAAGGAATAAATTTAAGTTAGCACGAGAAAACTGGCGGAATATTTCCGAGGCGATTTTAAATATAAGCGTCAAGTTCTACTTGTGATAGTTTCTCTAAGTTTTATTAATAGTATCTTCTCTTTGATTCATGCGCTTTATATTCACTCAAACCGTAAAGCTATGCAATTTAAGAGTATGCAAAAGAGAATTTAAAATCCTGTTAGGTTAATTGCAACTCATACCTAGGGGGCTTAAGTTCGCCGTGTTTCCTAGGAGAGTTAAAGGCAGTCTGCGTATTTAGAAGGTGGCAGCATCTCCTTTTGCCATTGTATGCTGATAAATCACTTTACCGTGATTAGCTGATGAAAAAGAAACAAGTCCCACATATATATCTTTGCAATAAATATTACATTAACCCAAAGAAAACTTCAGAATCACTATACACTGTATGCTACAATAACGATTGACAATATGAATGAATTTTAACGCCAGTTAAAATTCAGTATACATTCAATTTCGAATAAAGAGTTAGTAACAAGTACATTATTCTGGAAAAACAATAAAGCATTGAGAAAAAATAAGGAAACGTGTCTAGTCTTGAAATACCAAAATGCAAAATTTGTTAAAACACTCGGGGGCATGACAAAACGTTGATTAAATACTATAAGTTTCAATGAATACGGCAAATTGGAGGTAAACTAGTAATTCGTTAAATTTTCTTAAGTCATTAAATTGTTCCGAGATACCACATTAAAGAATAATTTCGATAAGCAAATTGTTTTTTAACAGTTTGACTTAAAGTCCTCTTGCATCAATACACATGTTAGGATTAGCTTTTTTCAGTTCTTCGAATGCGTGTGTATTAATTTTTGTTCATGAGATCTTGCATATTTTATTTACCTTATTAATTTATTCGAATTATTATTTATTGACACAATTTTTGTTTTCAATATTTAACCTTAATTCCTGATACAAAATTTTCAGGGCTAATAGTTTGATTGACACGGATTACAGTTTTCTCTATTTTTAGCGATTCTGTATTTTTGTTTATAGAACTATTCTACTTGACTTGATTTGAATTATTGTTTATTTAAATTAAACAGATGGTATTGGAACTGATTTTACAATTTTGAATCGTAACGCATTTTACTTTGTATGAATTTGGACAAGGCGCCATTCCAGCCTGTAGGGGTTGCACTGATGAAGACACAAACTGCTTTGTAGATTACCGAAACTTAGTAATTTATCGTTTATTAGAAATTAAGTATTTTAAATTTAGTATATTTTTGTCATTATCAGTTCAGAAACAGGCTGGTGATTCATTTACTTTTGTCTCTACACTAAACCCCTGAAAAAGATGCACCAGGGGATGTCAAATCTTCTTTTATTGCATTTTAAATTTATTTTTAACTCTTGCGCTACTATTATTATATTTTGCACTTGCAGTAGTTTGAATTTGAAAACTGGGCTCGTTTACTTATTTTTTTGCATTGCCTTATTGTTTTTGCAGCATAACTTATTTATTATTAACTCTTTATTCCAAGCTGAATATAGATTGAATTTAAATTTTCTTTACAAGTTTCCCGCCGAATTTCAAAGCGTTATAGTAAAAAAAAAACTAAGGATACAACAAAAACAAACCTTCCACTAAATGCAGAAACATTTTAGGTTTTTTATAACAGCACTTGACAGCAGATGGCAGCACACATCCAACTGAAAGCAGTAAAACTGAGGCTTACTGGTGAACAAAAAGCCTTATGTGTTAGAATGTAATCTAATGTGCTAGAATTTGCTATATCGGAATCAGTGATGTTGGTGCGGTGGGCATTTCGTACGAAATATCGAATACAGGAACTCACTGACAAGACAATTCATGCGTGGTACAATAAATGTTCAAAGAAAATAGATGCTTATGTGATAAGCAATGAAGCTGTCGGCTGGGTCCATTTACAGAAACCGCAAGTGATGTACGTGAAACGTTTTGAGGGGCCCGACTAAAATCAACCGTTTATGCAAGTCGTGAATTGGGGATTTCGCAACCAAGAGTGTGGCGAGTGGTACGCAGAATTCTGCATATGAAGCCATATCGACTGCAAATGGGGCAAGCGGTACTGCATTTCTCGTATGAACTTTTGCATGGATATCCAAGAAGATAATTAGCTGCCGTAAAACATGACGTTTAGTCATGAATCTGCCTTTCACTTGTCCGACACGATGAACCGCCACAACTTAGGCATTTGGGTCACCGAAAATCCTTATGCAGTCGTGATTCCCCGAAAGCTAATGTATTCTGGGCTATCTCCTCCTCACTCTATTTCTTTTCTTTTCTTTTCTTTTCTTTTTTTTTTTTTAATACGGAGAAGATTGTTAGCGGTGTAGTGTACTTCGATATTCTACAGTTATGGTAATGCCGTAATTTCATGGACATCAGGATGACGACTTCGTTTTTCAACGACATGGAGCTTCACCCCATTTTCAGCGGGACGTGCGTGAGTACTTAACACACAATTAACCTCGTCGTTGGATTGGGCGAGCATCCAAAAATGACGTACCTCTTTTGCCATGGCCCTCAGCTCACCAGATTTAACACCGTTTGACTTTTTCTTGTGGGGCTATGTAAAAGACTCTGCTTTCGTACCCCCTTTGCCACGTTATTTACCAGAACTGAATGAAATGATCACACGTGCTGTCAGTGCCTTTGATAGTACCATGTCGAATAGAATCTAGCATGAACTGGACTATCGAACTGATGTATGCCGTGTGACTAAGGGTTCAGATATAGAACACATTAAGGGCTGTAAATAAAACTTGAATTGCTTCCGTATTTAGTGCAATGTTGTTTTTTTGCTGTATTCGTCTTAGTTATTTTGCTATAGCCTTCTGAAACCATGGACAGAATTATGAATAACCCAGTATATATATATTTGCAACCTTCAAGAATGGAAAATGAAGTTTCTGTTGAATTTTTAATCCGTGTTTGAGTGATGAATGTATTCATATTAATGAAGTGTGTTGAAAAAAATTTTAAAAGAAAAACTTTTTTCTTGAAATATATTTATTTATCAAAATATAATTACAGAAATGGAATGCCTCAAGTATGGCGTGTACATCTTGGGAAGCACCGTAAATATTTCACGGACAGGTATGAGCAAATTCGAATGGTTGAAAGAATCGTAGTTTTTCCTGATGTAACTGGCCAGATGGTATGAACATTTAGATAATTTGCTGGTATTTTATTAGAAATTATATTCTGAAATAATTAAAATTCTTTTTTTCCTTAAAATAATTCTTAGAAAGAGTGATTTCTAAACCTCATATGCGGGAATTTAAGTTGTTCTATTTCACATTTTCTTCTTTGCATTTCCAATCAGTCTTAATTTGGTTTAATACCAGGTCATTTACGAATCTCTAAAAGGAAAGCAGAGTTTTAAAAATAAGTTAGAACAATTTCTGTGCTTTGATGAAGATGAAACTTAAAGCTGATATTTTTCTAACAGGTATTGCGAAAAGAATTAGATCTGGATAATGATATAGCTTTAATGAAACTTAATGCCCCTGTAAAGTTCACACAATTCGTAAGTCCAGCTTGTCTTCCTAAACAAGGTTATGAACTGAAGGTCGGTACTCAATGCATGGCATCAGGTTGGGGCTTAACAAGAGGTAAGCCAGTTTATTCTTGAAGTAAGGATACTTTATATTTAAATTGTATAATCTATGGCGTACCTTTTTTGCTCTCTCGCTACTTCAGTGATAATCTGAAGGTTGTCATGGATAGTTATATTCAGCGAAATGGCTGCGCTACACCCGGAGAATCTGCTGGTAACTATGCTTGCAAACAAAAAGAAACACATTCGAGAGTTTGGTGGGCGAAATGTTTTTCTGCCAGGTCACGGTCAACGAAGCCACCCCTACCAGTACGCAAATTCAAGATTAAGCAATCATCGTCAATGCGAAACACTACATTAACGTCATCGACTGTCAGCATTGCGAAGTTACATAGCCAGATTTGAAAGAGTGTATCAAAGAACGAGGCCCCACTTCCTTGATTCTACTCCTTTCTCTCAACTTCCACACTTTCTACCTTCCATGCCATACCCAGGCTATTGAAAGGTGCGTTAACGTTGTTACAGAGATTTCTAGACAAGGAATTCGCGATGGAGTAATCAGAACAACAATTTGATTAGATTGATCATTCCCACTTTCAAAATTAAGTCCGAATTCAGGGCTAAGAAGTAAAGACTAAGGACACAGAGCCCAAAGGTACGGTGGTTGGGATGAGCACGGGGGAATTCATTACACAACTACCTCCTCGTGAAGACTTCTGGGTGGTTCCCTAAACCAGCGAGGAGTTGCATTTTTATAATGTAAACTTTACAACAGTGTCGTTAATTTTAAAAAAGTTAGACATATTGAAAATTCTCATATGTACTGTACAAAGTCTGGTGTTCTTTGGGAGCATAAACTACAGCCGTTAAAAGGACTTTAGAAGAATTAGCTTCTGGTCTTGTTAATATAGGAGCACAAAGTCAGAAGAAGGTTGTACAAGATCCTTTTATTTGAAGACAAAAGATATAACAATGACCCAACTTAGGCTTACACAAGCCAACACTTCTGGCTTAACTTACATACGTAATGTTGAACTAATTAAAATGTAATAGATTAGCCTAACGGATAACAGAATAGCGTTTGTAGATAGCCGGCGAGACAAGTCTAATGGCTAGAAGCCCTTAACGCCACAGATAGTGTGCTTTGCCATAATCCTTAATAAACCAAACGAAACCAAATTAACGCCACAGAATCAAATCGCTAATAGTCACGGTACAACATAGCCTAAAGTAGACAAAAACACGCTCTAAAATTAACTTGCGTAACCTTCGCTTAAATAGTACTTCTTTCTCCATCAATCTGAATAAACGATCACTATCTCATTTACATTCTAGCATGAAAAGCGTGAGTGAAAAGATAGTGACAGAAAAGTAAATGAACTTAGTTAAAAATAAATAGATAAAACTTCGCAACTGTACCAATACAAAATTTCAAGGCTGTTGAGGGCAACAAAGATGAAGTAGAAAATTTTGAAATAATTTAAGAGTGATACATTACCCAATATACAGCTTTTGAGGAGTAGTATGTATAACAAAGTGATTTATATCAAAATATGTGCTTTGAGTTTGCATTTTTCGTTAAATATACTTCAAAAGTTAGCCAATTATCATATCTGTACTATCACCTTACCATTTAGATAACAACTAACTAAAGAAAGATTGCTTAAATATAGTAAAGTTGTCTCAAAAGACAGTATTTCATTTTACCAAGTGTTCAATGTGTCTCTCACTCACTGTTGCACTGTAAGGGGTTCGTATGAGCGATTTGTTTAAATTGTTTCTAATAAGTAAGCATTTATTTTTTTGCTTGTTTGTTTACTTATTCCTTTTCCCAAGGAAAAACGAGATGTCTTACATGGTTTAATCATACTTTGACTGAAGTTAAAATCTTTCCCTTCCTGAGAAGTATAGTCTCATCTGGTTTCTTTTAAATTCAGTCAAACGCATTGTCATTAACTTAAAATATAAAATGTAAACAAGTGCTGGAAAATACCACCTTGTTTTCAATGAATTTATTGTTGGGTTCTAAATTGTTTAACACCAATACTACGGAATAAGGTCTTGTTTAACCTTCCATTAAAACTGTCAATATGTAAAGTTGTTTCTAAATTATTTCAAAATTTAAACTGAGGTCAGTGAATTCAAATAGAATGACGCAAGAAGTAACTTGTGGTTGACTGGCAGTGCTAGACACTGACGTAAAAGAAAGCGGATTGGGTCTTCGAATTTTATATAGTTTCTGTGATATTTCGTTATTTATTGTTATTATTTTTTAATTTAAAACCTTTTTTTATTAAAAAATATTTTTTGTTCATACATAATTGTTTGTATTTTCCGTTTTAAAAACAAAACATCTAATCAGAATTCAATATTTTGTTTTAATAAGATAAAATGCAAACTCTTTGTTGAAATTTTCATGACTCTGCATTGCTTTCACAGCTGAAAACTGCAGTCTGCAAGTGTGTGATCACACCATTCGCTAATTGTTGAGCATATAGGCGTTTATAGAAGCGACTTCGAATGCATGAGATCTTTTAATTATGCTAAGGCTGATGGGCAGCTCTTGTATACTCGAAATTTCAAATAGCATCCTCCACCAAAAATTCATAGGTTTAATCCATCATTTGGCGATCTATGAGACCAAGCAGTTGGACACCAGTGACTAATCAGCTACTTGGGACCAAACGCGTTTAACAAAAACAGCTTCACAGGGGTTGATATATGATCAAGCGCATTATCTTGAATAAACGTGACAGTCTTTGTGAAATTCCTTTCTTTCAGATGTGGTAAAATGTTCTCATCTATCATTTTGATGTGGCGCTGTCCTGTTACAGAATGCATTTTTCAGTCATTTGTTGAGCAAGCTCTTCAAAAGTGAATGGGCCAATGATGATAGATGCCGTGTATAGGCACTTCACAGTGGCTCGGCAGTGAGTATGATGGCTCCTCTGTATACATGCGAGGTTTGTAATTTGCCCCATATTCAACAATTATGGGTTTGAATATTTTCATGCAACAAAAGGTGTGCTTCATATATCCAAAACACTTTCAGAATCCATTGGGAATTGCTAGCAAATGTTTTCGGTGCACTTGTAGTAAATACTTCCCATTTAAATCACTTCGCTGCAGCTGAGACAGTAAATGCGATGATTACAACTTGCAATGACACAATTGCAATATACCATGCCTGCTCCACAACACTGATCAACTTGGTAGATATGGGCTTTTTGCATTTTCTTGAGCACTTTTAACACTGTTCGATGTTCGTGCTGCCACACAGTTTGTGTAGAATTTGGGCCAAAAATGTTCTGCCGCTCTGATCTTAACCTACCATACTTTAAATTTCCTCAATAGTCTCGTGAGAGTTATTAGCGCTGTCACAGCCTAATATTTTCATACATCTCTCAGCATATTTTCATCATTTATGTGCACGACACTATGGTAAAGCTGAAAAGGCTGATTTGCCAACTCAGGCAGAACAATTTAAGCAATGGCTTTACAACCAAAGGCTTTGGAATCAAAATCAACAGAAAAATAATTCATCATTAAAGTTTGTAAACCAGTGAGAAGGAACTGAAGTCTTGCGGATGGACAGCTTCTTTTAAAGGTAATCTTATTAACTAACTTCAGCTTCTCTACAGCGCATTTTATACGTAATGCTCTTTAATTGGCTGAGAAAAAAGTCCGAATCCATGGCAAGACTTTTAGGCCAAGCCGCATCCTCTTATGACATCTTATTCATTTTCTTATGAATTTTGAAAACGTTAGTGACTTTTGAGTTACCCTGTGTAAAAAGTTTTTAATTCTGTAATTTTTAATTCATGAAACGAGGAGCAAAAGTATCGTACCTTCACTAACGATCACAGTCAGACTAACACTAAATCTGACACTAAATGATACACTAGAGAATAAATTTCAAGACATGTAATACGTTTCTTGCGTAATTCGTTTTCAATATTACTCCGGATGTGTTCACGCCATCGTATTATCTCCAATATCGAACAGTGTTCCTCATTGGTGAAAATGTGAATTAAACCCCCTCTTCCCAAAAAGTTTAAGTTTTATGAAAACCACATTCCATTACATATATGTGTTAAATTGTACAAACTGTTAGAATTTTTGCGAACACTTGAACCACTCTGTACATCGAAAAGAAATCTAAATTAGCGTTCTTGGAAAATAATGAATTGTATCAGTAGATGCACAGAAAGTGGCTTTTGTTTTGCTCACAAATTAGAAGCTCATTTATAGATTATTTAATGAATACTCATAAATACTGATTAAGCACTGATTCATTTTGTTATAGAATTTTTGTTTACATTCCAAATATGACATCACAGTCATAAACTTTATAGAATGTAACATACATTCCATCATACAGAAAAGCACTGAAAATAATTTTCTATAAAATCTCCCAACGCAACTTTACTAAAACTCGATCTTTTTTTCTTATGTTCTGAAAATAGTTGCTTAATAAGAAAGCTAGTGAGAATGGGATAAAATTTCTTTAACTATTAGCAATATTAATGATATATAGAATTTAACAATAACTTTTATGTCTAATCCAATAAATAAATTAAGTAAAATTTCAAATAGTTAATAACTGAAACTGAACATATACATTTACAAATTATCTACCTTATAGAGTCTATGGGTATTCTTTGGGAACATACAACTTTGAATCAAGACAAAGTAGCAAATTCCCGCTATGTCTTTGAGAATAAATACTGCAGAAGAAAAGGTTTAAATAACCTTTTTATTTAAACTAATTTAAAACAATGCACGCACTTCATGCTCACAATTCACCACCACTTGTGGCTACTAAATTAACAGAAAATAAGAATGTAAAATGCACATTAACTAAAGATAGCTGACGACTGGCTCTTAGGTTAACTAACGATAAATCGGCTGCAGATAGCAAGCCGGGAAATATCAGTATAAACTGAAAGGTGTCTAACACCGATTAGACGGATAGTTTTAAACTGGCAGCATAAACAACGGAACTAATGCCGCTACTGCTCTTTTTGAACTCTTGAAACGCAGCTTAAATATTGCTTCTGAAACACGTTTAAATTTGAATACTACGTCATAACTAAATTCCGGCAGGAAACTGAAATCAGGAGAGACAGGAAAGTCAAACTAAAAATAATTGGTTAGAATAAAATAAATCCTTACAACATTTGCACAAGATATGAACATGTACATTAAATTATTACAATATAATTATTCAATATGAGCAACTTAAACTGCAGACTGTTAAATTATTGACTCAAATGTATATCTATATACGATTCCTCCCTTCGTTAAACACGTGCTGCAAGCTATTCTCGTGATGCCTTTTAATACCATCTCTGCATGATTGATGTGATTTCAGGGCTGGAAACAAAAATAAAATAGTAGTAGCAATGAACAGAAATGGAAAATTTGCAATCTAAAATGTTTCGTTCATAGTTAAAGAAGAATTAACCATTAATATGTTTTAGAGTAAAAAATATTAAAAAATTACAAACATAAAAACTACACAAATATTTATTTTCTCAGCTTCAATCAAAATAATACATATTCCTGCAAATACATAAATTAAATATTTAATGCAGAATAAAATTAAAATAAAATTCAAAAATTTTAATTTTAAAAGCTCTAGTATTTATTCTGCATTTTTCCCCTTGAATACAAAATAAAATATTATAGAAATATATATATATATATATATATATATATATGTATGTATACAGAAAAATATAAAAATATTGGAAACATATGTTACTAATTGACAGAAACTATTAAATAAATTACAGAGAGGCATGCAATCTGTATATTATTACAACACTTCACCATAACTAGACGACAGTGCTCACAAGTTAGCGAACAGAAAAAGCGCTTCCAAGTTAACGTTAACGTTTTGAAATCAAGAAAGTTTGTTAGAAACCTGTTTTATTCATTATGCACAAGATATGAAATAGCATTTGCTGAAAAATATTGTGAAACTGTCCGGGTGAACTTAATTTTTACGTGGATAACTTGTACTATTCTATGTTAACGTCTTTTTGCAATACTGAAGACAAATGAAAGATCTTACGCCTCATCCATTGACAACAATATCTATTTATTACGAACACGGTTTTTTTGAACCTGAAAACGCTAACATCTGTAAGATAATTATTCGATATATTAAAAACTGTCGTACGCGATTAATTCTGAACTGTACAGTGAATGAGAAACATACCCAGTGTTAATTTTAGCCACATATTGTGTCTGCAACATGAGCCAGTGCATTGATCTGATGAAGGCGCTAGAAAGAAATCTGAAGTTCTGGACACTTCCATCGAATATGATTTCGTACTGCTTTGAAAGCTAACAAATAATACTCCGATTTAATTATTCTGTTCTGAGGAACCTGATGTTGATACACCTTCTCGCTTACTGTCTACTTTTTGAGAATTCCTTTAAACCATCTAAATGCTGTAGAACGAAGTAATAAATCATCACGGTGTGCTTTCTGTATTATACGAAACGTTTCTATTGACGTTTTATAGAAAGTAGAATTTTACGAGAATTGCTCGTTGCAGATAGCTTTCATTTTGGCTGAAGACTAAATAGGAAACATATTTCCATTCGTTTTTGTCATTCGCATAGAAATTGCAGTATCGCTCATTAGTCTAATAACCTGGTGTGGAAAACATGGATAAGATACTGCTATGGGACACAAATAAAATTATAATCTACATAGCTGCGACACAATTCCATCAAATACAGTCTTTTTTCTTTATGGAACAGCTTTTGTGTTTTGTGGGAAGCCAGATCATTTTCATTTTAGCAGAAAGAGATGAAAGCGTTTTTGCTTTCTTTCGTAATTTCTTGTACGTTGGTATGTTCACTCTAATTAAATAATTTATCAGAAATAATTCTAATTAGAATTAAGCTAAAAATATGCATGCTAAAATTATTCCAAAATATTTTTTGAGAATTTGGCTCATCTAAAAACATATTACTTGACAGTATAAGTAATAGTATTCAACATTTAGTAATTAACTTAAAACTAGAATATGATTAAATTGTTAACATATTACGCTGCAAGAAGACTTCCATATTGAAGTTCCCCCTGCCGAAAATTTAGTTGAATCTGTAATTGATCTATAGCCAGTTTTAAGACTATTTTCAGCTAAGTACACTCTACTTTTACTAATAAAATCCAAGCTTATTGAATGGATGCGAAAACGATCTCTTTTGGAAAGATATCTAAGCATTATTTAATGGGGTGTTTGTTAAAATGTTTTCGGAAAACTTTTTTATATTTTATTCAAAAAAATAAATTCAATACTTCTTGGAGTATTAACTTGAGTAAGAATACATCTCATATATGCCCCATACACTTCTTAAACATTATTTAAGAAAATCAGTAAGAATAATTAAAGAGTTTAGGTATTTGCGTAGAAGAGTTGAATACAAGATCTTGGACTGTGGTACAAGAATAACGGCAACATTTTCCAGCGCGATCTTATACTTTGTAGCAATTTTCTAATTAAATCATTTTCCAATAAGCAGATAAAAGTGAAAATACTTTTGATGCTTCTTTCTAGGAACTGGATTTTCTCACGTCCTGAAAGAAGTAGAATTATGGATTGAGAAAGCACAAGACTGCGATTCAGATATGGGTTCTATTGATAATAAAACATCAGTATGCGTACGAAACAGAAAAGGATTCCAAGATGTTTGCCATGTAAGAATTTATCTCTAATATTATTCTTTAAATTATGATAATGAATTCATTAGTATTCTACTACTTAAACCTGCCTTATTTACCATCCTGAAGTGCATTTTATTTCATTGAAGTTGACTTAAATTTTACTTAGAGCTTCCATGTGAGAAATAGTCAAACATACTACTACAAATTATTCTTAATTCTTCATCAGTACATGTTTTATAAAGTTTCATAATTCACCATCAATACAATCAGTTGAAAATCATTATTTTTATGTACGTATACTTTGCTACTTTTGCCCTAACAAATCTTGTTAATTCTGAGATATAGCTGAGCAGGTCATGATTGGTGTAATATTTGTGAAATTCTAATTATTTATATTGACTGTAAGTAGAAAATGTTGCAGTGCAACTCTGAAAACAACACTGCGCGGCCGCGTACGCGCCCAGCTTAGATGAATGCTTAGCTTGCAACGAGTTGTGTAACTTTTTCCTGTGAACTACAATATACAGTGAACTAAAATTCAAGATACACTACAATTTTCCTACATAAAGATTCCTGCGCACCCAGTGCAAGTAACAAGTTCTGAATTAGTACAACCAATCTTTTATCTCACAGAAATAATAATATTAATTTCATCTTTCCGTATAAATTATCACAGCATCACAGACGATTCCATTTGTGATACTTAATGTGGAAAGATGAAAATAACTTGAAACTAAAAATGAATGAAATATTTCAAATAAAAGATTATATAATTTTTATTACAAAATTTGAGAATTCATCAGTCCTTTCTATTAGTTCAAATTTACGAAAAAAATTGTTAATAGTTAGTTGCACTACCTTTAGCTCCTTTAAAGTTACGCCTTGATTCCATCAAGTTTTGAGTTGTATTTGGAGGGTATTCATTTCGTAAGATATATTTCAAATGATCTATGTCCATCATTTATATTTATGACTACCTGTTCCTAGTCTAGATTGTACATTTCAATGGTATCAATGTCTAAAGACTGGTCTGGGGTGTGTTTGAGGATTGGACTAAAATCAAATTTTAGCTTGTAGTACAAAAGAAACCACATGTTTTTACACTACGTACGTATGCTTCGAGTGGTTATTTTATTGAAATATGTAGCTTTCATCCAAGTCCTAGTCAACAGCACTTGATCTGAGGTTTTCCTTTAGCAGATCTAAATGAAGAGTATATTTTATAATAATATCAATGAATGCAAGTTTTCCACCTCCACTGCAATTGGACATATTGTCACGGTATCATGACCATACAGCTAAAAAACTATCTCAAACCCATGCGTGCTGTTGAGATGTAAGTGATTAACATGCCCAGCTAGTAAATGGAAGATTCCTGTTTCGAATTCCAGCGAAAGTACATTTGATATATCAGGTTTCCAATTGCAAAAGAATCTAATTGTGTTTACAAACCAACCGACATTAAATTATTTGAAGAACCGCGCTCTTTTCATCCAAAAATGCGACTTCCATCACATACAAAGACATTAAATTTATCTCGTGGATAAAAATTATACAGTTCCAAACATTCTATATCCTAATGCAGTTTTAGCAACATCTGAACTTTTGACTTATTTTGCAAAAAGATAAAGATTCTGTCTTGCTTTTCGGAGATTCCGTTTGTGACCATGTGGTACAACCTATGACCGAAGAATTTCAGCTCGCTTCATATTTGGATCTAGTCCGTAATTTCCATTTTAAATATATGAAGAAAAATCTTTTCTCTCATATACTAGTCATATACTAGTTAAAAAAAAATTTAAACAAAATACATTAACAAGTGAAATAGTACTTAGAGCTTTTCTCGTGACGATAAAATTATGAGTGTTGTGAATTGTTAGCATTTATATGGGGAAAAAAAAAAAGAAAATACGATAACATGTAATTTACTGGGAGCTGTTCACGTCATGAGTAAGCTATAAATGATCGTCGACCATTTGGACTGCTGGCCATTTGAAGACGGTTTGCACTGGTAATTTATGAATAATCTCGATGCCGTTTATAAAACAGGGGCCGTAATGATAAGCAAGAAACAAACCGGTAGCATGTAAAGTTTAAAAGAGCATGTAAAGTTTAAAAAGTTTAAAAATATATATAAAAAAATATTCCTTTAATATAAAAACTATTGGAAAACATTTCGTAAAATCTTTGCTTTTGATCATATTTTAGGTTTATCATTCCAAGTCTTGTGTACCCCTATATGTAGGTTGCTTAATGTTAAGATGCATAGGGTGGTCCGAAAGTCATATGTTACCCCTTTCCGTGTTCTGTACTCAGATATGCGTCTCAAGACTAAAGTTTATGATAAAATATGTAATTTATGAGTGTGAGCAACAATACTGCCATGGTATAAAAAGATACAGCGCCACGTCTTATGCAAAACTGTACGATGCAGAGGTTTTTCTGATTTTTTATAAATGCCCTTCTAATATTTTTTTTTCAGTTCTACAGTTGGCTGTTGTCTTTGTTACAATACATGATGTTTAATAGTGCTCATTTAGGTGTTATCACATAATAGCAAGTCATGATGGACTTTCCTGGCAAGCCGTTCCATCAATACATGAGCTTGTGCCTGCCATCTTAAGTGATACGAAATGAGTGTACAAAACTGTCTGATACAGTCTTCTGAAGTGAAATAAAGTCGACTATATTATAATGGTCTCTCATTATAGCTACTATTCAATTACAACGGCGGGTGCAAAATCTCCACAGCTGGTAAGGGTACTATTTCATTATAGCTGCCAATTGTTATAACTTCTTTTTTCTTTAAGAAGCAACGATTATAACGAGCACTGACTGTGCATACAAAGCGAGTGTGAAGAGTGGAGTAATAAGGTTATCGGACCATCTTACAAGTTTGCTTTTGAGTTGAAATTTTGGAATGCACAGTAGTGAATCATTAAAAAAGTATTAGCATGTCGCCGAAACTCTTTTAAGTAAATCTTGTCGTTTTTAATATGATTATTTATTTATTTTCTTGTCTTTTTTTCATAGGGTGACAGTGGCGGCCCACTTGTATGTGAAATAAATAATGAATGGCAAGTCATGGGAGCAACAAGTCGTGGAACAGCGGGCAATTTTGAAGGTGGTTTATGTGCAATGCCTGGCTCTTACACAGTTTATTCAAAGGTGTCGGATAAAGTTAGTTGGATCAAGAGGATGATCAGCAAGTACAGTTAGCTAAACAAAATTTTCTGATTGTAAATTAAAACCAAAATGAAATAAAGAAGATATTTATTTGTCAAAAACGAAAATATTTTTTGCATATGTTATTTGGTACTAGATTATCCCAAACTTATCCTACGCTACTTTCAATAAAATTAGGGACACTAGAAATAGCATAGAATATTTTTTTAATTAACTAAAGAAAAAAATATATTATTTTTATTTTCATAAGCTATTAGATTATTAAAATATTTTAGTAATGTCATCAAATTCATTTAAGGTTTTTAACAAAAACACATTCACATTAAAATTCCCAAACTTTTTTTCTTGCAAACAACTACAATGATTCAGTAACATATAGTCAATGTGCGTTAAGTATGTTTTGCATATTAATTCAGATGTTTTTTATTCGACTAGTTTCCAACAGATTTAAGAACATTATAACAACTTTTCATGCTGGTAAATAGCTTATTTTCTTAGCTTCGAACTTTATTGTAAGGAACACTATTTTACTGCGTATGTATTTGAAGACCCCATACGCCTCATTTAGACCTTTAACTTTTCAATATAGTATAATCTCGCTTTAGAAATTGTTTTCACCGCTTGATAATCAGTGCCTGCGTAGTAACTTGTATTACTTTTTGTTTCTTGAATAAAGTCCAAAAAATAAAAACGATACTTTTTACTCTATGAAAGTTGAACCAACACAGTTCATTAGTAACACCGGAATGTAAAAAAAAAAAAAAAAAAAAAAAAAAATGTCTAAGAATTTAATGCTAGTAGTCTCATGGAATGTCAACAGACTACAGACCTTGCTACTGAAAGAGGACTTTAAATACTATGAATGTTGTTTGGAAATGTAGCCTCGATTTTTCTGGCTTACTTTTGAGATATAAGCACTCTTTTTTCATATTAAGGTCCTAGGTAATTATGTAGAATTTAAACGAAATCTGTGAGACAAACTTCCCGCTGTCCATTTCTTAGCGCATATCTCATCTAACCTAGAGCTTCTAGAAATATCCTAAAATTAACCTCACTCTAACCTTGCTGTTTTCAGAAAATCATGCGAAATAACGGAAAAGTGCTTTTATATTTAATTAACTAACTTTTGAAATAATGTGAACAATTTAAAAAAAAAAAAAAAGCTGAGGCTAAGTGCACTTGGGTGCATATCATTATACAATATGTATGCGCAACATTAAAGTTTCAGATTTTAATTTTATGCCTCTTAAACTTACGCATATTTTACGCATTTTTAATTAGGATGTTCTTCCCTTTAATATGCATCTATTTTTTCATATACTGTGTTCTGTTAAGGTATAACTGATGGCCTAAGTCAAGAGACCTCGTCGTGAATTGTTCTGGGTAGTCACTGCAAATCTCAGGAAAGGCGAAAAGACTTCGACCGCTCCAGCATACATTTAAAAGTTTCATTCCTAAGAGCTAAATATCATATGTTAGGTGCAGGAGCCACCTATTATTTATCCTGAGTAAGTAGGTATAGGTCCCTTGCAGTAGGTATCCAGATCTAAATACCATAGAAGATAGCAGTGCTTAGTATTTAACGTAAAAGTGTTTAATTCATGTAATGTACTTTGAAAGTGTCTTCATTAAATATTGTTTCGCAAAACTTTGTGTTCATCACTGGGTCGGTATTCCTTAGAGGAATAAATTATTAGAAGGGAAAAAAAAAAAGATTAATCTAGTAGCCAGTGAATCAGAACCACAGAAAAAAAAAAAATATTTATTTCCTTCTAACCTTTAATTTAATTTTGGAATGCCTGTTTCACAATTGTTTAGATGATTATAACGTTTCTAACTTCAGCCTGCTTTTCTTTAAGCCGTTAGTCTCTGCTTGTGAAAAAATTCCGGAAAAAAATAATGATATTATTAAAGCTCTTCAAACTAACTTTCATCCACTTCAATGTAGCTTGACATCATTAACAGCAAATAAATAGTTCGAAAATAATACTTCCCAGGGGAAAAAACTCAGAAACTAATTTCGAACTGCACTAAAAATGAGATTAATTTTCAAATTTCTTCTACTACTTGCTCTTGGGTCTGTGACACTTAGCCGACAACCACTTGCCGACGGGACACTTAACCGACACCAGTTAGCAGACAGGACATTTAGCCAACACGGACACTTAGCCAACAGGACATATAGCCGACACGGACACTTAGCCAACAGGACATATAGCCGACACGGACACTTAGCCGACGGGACATTTAGCCCACACGAACAGTTAGCCGACAGGACATTTAACCGACACGGACAGTTAGCCGACAGGACAGTTAGCCGACACAAAGAGTTACCGTCAGGACATTTAGCTACGGGGCACTTAATTGTCAAGACATTTAGTCAACAAGACACTAAGCCGACAGTGACGTTTAGCTGACACGTACCCAACATTTATTTAAACTTACTATCAATTACAAAATTTCTCGACTTATCCATAAGTTCAATATTTAAGATATTTTTTTCACCTATCAGTAAAATTAATTTTTCGATTCTTAAAGGTCTCATATGTGCTTTAAATTCTTGTGTAATTTAGCATTGTTTGATATGTATCGTGCTGTTTGGTGTATATTGGCCAAATTGAAAAAGCGCTGAAGTTTGTCGTCAGGGAATATGAATTATATTTCGAAAGGAAAACAGAAATTTTTTTAGCTAAGTACGGCGGCCACTTAATTACATTTTAATATGATCTTCAAAAATTACCCGTAAAGCTTCTTCATTTAATCAACTGGGTTCTTTTAAACACCTTCAATAATTTTTCTGGTTTACTTAATGACATTAATTTTCCAATCTCGCTCTTCTAAATGCTTTCAAATTTCTAATAATTTTACGTTTCAGGCCCACCAGCGGCCGAGCGGTAACATCGCTGAACACTGGTAGTTCAGTCCGAGGTTCTGGTAGTTCACTGAACACTGGTAGTTCAGCCCGTTCGGGGTCGAATTCCACGAACGGGCTGGCTGCATGGGTGTTTTCGTGGTTTTCCCCATGTGTAACGTATATACGAGCCAGTTTCCCTTAAAAAGTCCTCCACGAAGGCATCCCTCCCTTAAGGCAGGTAGCCCTCGAGTTCTTTGCCGTAATCTAATAAACCAAACCAGCCTTTACATTTCCTTACTATTTAACTCATCACATCATATTAGATTCTTTCCCTTACAAAAGCGCTATGTTTCTCCCACTAATGAAATTTCCTTTCTCTGTCATGAAAAATTTGAATAATGCAATAAAAATTATTGTTGTTCTTGAATTATAATTTTTTATAGAAACATATGGTGGTAAGGTTTGATTTAGTAAATATATTTTATTTTGTTATTAAAAACAATTTTAAAATGTGAATTTTTAAGACAAGCAAGGGTATAATTTTTTGTGACCTCTATAATTTGCTGTTTCATGCCACGATTTTTGAGATAGAAATTCTGTATCATTTCATTGACCACTCCTCTCGCTTAAAATACTTACTAATGTTTACAGCACTAAATTGGTGCGTAATGTTTAATTTAGAACTAAAATATTCTTATTTATTTTATTTATTTTATTCATAACTGAAGCTGCAGAAGGAAGGGGCCACAAACCAAGTAGGCAGAGCAAAGCGTCACATCCTGAAAAGTCACCGAAATGTGGTGCCATCTATCGATGCTGGATTTAACTAGATCAGTCATGTAAATACATAATATTATGTACTATATTTTGAAAGTCGCGATGTGTAATTTTTAATATAATGCCTTATATTAATGTTGTTCTTATAAAATATAACTTTTCGCAATATCTGTTAAAAATGTATAAATTTTCATTTCATTTTTAATTAATTTTATTTTTTTTCCTCTTGCATTCTTTCTCTCTCTCGTTTTCGGTTTAGCTACATGGTAATTGGAAAATCTTTGGTGCCCATTTTTCTGAATGCATTTATAAAGTTCTAGCCTAAAAAGGTAATTTTCATTGGAAGAGACTCGTTATATATTAGGTAAAACGGTCACCCTCTTTGTGTTAGGCTCAGCAGAGGCCGAGCTTGAAAGCCATGAATCCTGGCGGTTCGGTTCGAATTTCGAATCCCACTAACAGACAGGCTGCGTGGGTGTTTTCGTGGTTTTCCCCATGTGTAACATATATATGAGTCAGTTTTCATTAGAAAGTCCTCCACGATGGCATCCCTCCCTTTGGCCAGATAGCCCTTTGGCTTTGCCGTAATTACACAAACAAAACTTACTTCTGTTAGGTGGCTGCAAACTTGGTTTGCGGCCCTCTCCTTCTGCAGCTTCAGTTATGAATAAAACAAAACCATTAAGAATATTTTACTTCTAAATTAAACATTATGCACCAATTAAGTGCTGTAAACATTAACCTAAGTAAATATTTTAAGCGAGAGGCGTGGCCAATAAAAGATTACAGAATTTCTATCTCAAGAATAGTGACATGAACTGCAAATTACAGAAGTCACAAATAATTTATACCTTTGCTTGTCTTAAAAATTCTCCTTTTTTCATTGTTTTTAATAACAAAATAAAATATATTTGCTAAACTAACCCTTACCACCATATGTTTCTATAAAAAGTATCATTCAAGAATAACAATAATTTCTATTGCATTATTCAGATTTTTCATGACACAGAAAGGAAATTTCATTAGTGAGAGGAGCCAAACGATTTTGTAAGGGAAGGAATGTAACATGATGTGATCAGTAAAATAGTAATGAAGGTATTAGAAATTTGAAAGCATTTGGAGGAACAAGATTGGAAAATTAATATCATTAAGTAAACAAGAAAAATTAGCTAAATGTCCTGACGCTAACGCTTTGTGTCGGCTAACTGTACTGTCGGCTAACTGTCCGTGTCGGCTAAGTGTCCGTGTCGCTAAATGTCCCGTCGGCTAAGTGTCCGTGTCGGCTATTTATCTGAAAGCATTTGGAGGAACGAGAAATTTGAAATTTCAAAGCATTTGAAAGCACTTGGAGCATTTGTTGAACGAGATTGGAAAATTAATATCATTAAGTAAACAAGAAAATTACTAATGATGTGAAAATGTTCAAAAGAACCCAGTTGATTAAATGAAGAAGCTTTATGGATAATTTCTGAATAT